ATCCATGTAGCATGAACCCTGCCTCGGTATTGTGTTTCCTTCGTGTGGAAGGCGATAGGAAGGTTGTGGATCTGTCCAAGGAGCATTTCCCGTTTCCGAAGTCTGAGTGTAAAGCTGATTGGGCAGTGGTCCGGTATGTACACTCTTTGGACTAAGCATGAGATCCTGAATCAGTTCGGGCTCTGAGTGGCTGACTAGCACAATATCACTAGTGCTTCTTTCACCATTGTGTGAGAAGCATGTATGACCTTCTGTGAGCGGCCATTGTCTAGAGCTGTTAAGAACTAATAGGTGGGATGTTGTGCAGAATGTGAGAACTTTGCTCGTTGTGTCGAAAAGACGGTCTTGTCATGATCGTATTCACGTAGTTCGTTTGTGGAGGTGCTGTGCTAGAGTGCTTGCGAGTTCTCAGTTCTGGCGTTGAAATCGCCGAGCCATCACATACGCATATCTGGCAAAAAATCCACACCATATTACCCACAAGGGAATTGTCAGGTTGAATCTACTAATAAATTTTTTAAAAATATCTTCAAAAAGATTGTGAAGGACAATACAAAAAACTGGGATGAGAAAACTTGAGATGCTTTATAAGCTTATAGGACTGCATATAAAGTATCCATTCTTTCTTTGCATATTGCAATTAAAAATAGCTTAGATGTAAAAGAAGCTTTTAAACAAAGACTTGCCAAAATAAAAAATTTAAACAAACTTAAGCTTAGAACAATTTGGACCTTGTATGCAATTCAAAAAGCCAGAAATGTTAGACATGACAAACAATTGAAAATCTTTTGCGAAATTAAATCAAGAGATAAGGTTCTTTGGTTTCAAGATAAAATAGATGCTCTTGGAAATAAATTCGAGAGAAAATGGAATAGTCCATTTATTTTGTCTAAGATATCAGCTCCAGGAATGGCTAAAGTGCACACCTTAAATGGGGACGATATTGCAATAGTAAATTTAAACCATTTAAGGAAGTACCATGGAGATATAAGCATAAATACTATACAAGGAAAAAAAAAATTCCACAATACGTTTGCATACAAAAGTAAACAAAGGCAAGAGGATAAAGATTAGGACGTAGTAAGGTAGGACAATTTAGGTAACTTAGAGGTGGCTAAGGAGCTTCTTTTTCTTTTTCGCTCTTTCCCTTTCACTTACTCTATACTTACACCTTTGCCAAGATGCACCAACACTCTAAGCTTAGCTCTAAAGTAATGTATGGCAACTTAAACGCTGCCTAAAGTTACGCAATAGCAAAAGCCATTGTTGCCACCTACTGGGTTGAGCACACTCTTGATTTGGTAGAGCAGATTTGTCCCCATGCCACCGCCACAAGCCCTCAACTCCACTCTTGCATTGTTGACACTTCTGTTGGCACCACACTCCGTCTCATGGTCGAGTATGTGGAGGAAATTTCATCTAGTGATGAGGAGTTAGATTTTGGCCAAGTAAAGCTCTCTAGGGAGCTTGTGCTTTCTCCTTATGATAACTTTTGGGTTAATGCCTTTGGGTTACTCGCATATGTGGAGCTGTTCGAAGGAGAAATAGTGGTCAAACAGAGGATCAAGCTTATGTAGAAATGGTACCCAAAGGAGCATGCTTTTCTTTTCTGTGGGCAAGTCCATCCCTTTGGACTCACCTAGTTTGCTCAGATTTTGTGCCTAGACAACAAAGGCAAAATAATTACAATGAGTAAAAAGGATCGCATGCCTGAACAATACATCCTTCCAAACTACACATCCAGACAAATAAGCAACTTCACCTATTTGAAGCCCGACTATCATACTAGGCTTAAGGTGTTGTGTGCCATCATCGACGGGAGGACGATTGCATAATATGCTACCATCAAGATAGCCTGTCTTTTAGAAGCTATCAAGACTGGATGGCAAATAAACATAGCCCATTTTGCTTACAATGGATTTGTGGCTGAAATGAAAATATTGCCATATAGGTAGGCAAGGAAGTGAAGATGAAAGTCTTCATCTTTTTGTGGCACATCTACGAGCATTACACCACTCAAGTGGATACCATGCCTCACTTTGCCATTGAGCCACCACTTCCAGTATCTCCTTGAAGGGAGATAGCAAAGGATGTGGAAATGGAGGAGAATCCCAACAATATAGATTCAAGTGAAGAAAATTCTCCCCTTAAAAAGAAACTCCACCTAGATCTGAAAATCCAAGCTATGAGACATCCAAGGTTTGTTCTGCAAAAATCCAATGGTTGAGTATACCCCAGAAAAGTTGGACGCAACAAGTATGGTGATAAAACGCCATGCCCGGATCAATAACAAAGTCACGACTCAAATATATCTATAGAGACAAAAATGTTCCCTAGAGGGAATATTCAAAGAATCACTCTGCTCCAAGATGCAATAAGATGAACCACAAGAATATTTTAAGAATATTCTATGGCCTATGGGATTTAAAGGCATAACACCTTAAGGGTTAAGAGGTTGGCATAGGGTTCACTCCCTTGTTCATTTCAATATGGGTCCAATAAAATTCTTGGCAAGGATTGTTTTTAATAAAGTCATATGAACCTAGCTTCTATAAAATAGTGGCTTACAATTTCAATTTTATGTCTTTATAGTTATAAAAAGAAAGTCATATTTAAAGATGTTGTCATAGAGAACAGCATCATGGACAATGATTAAGAGAATGCAGAACTGATATAAATTGTACTAAAGGAGTTTCAATACTTTAGTATATCATTTCATTAGCATCCTTACAAATATATATTGTGGTATATTTTCTATTAAAAGTAACATTCTATTCATTAAGATTATTATTTTATGAGATTAAATTATATCTAATTAGATAAATATAGAAACGAGACATGTAAACAATTGATGATAAAAAAGTTATTGCAGAGTTTTATCACTTTCAAGATAAAACATGGAGAAGAAGACTGTCAAATAGGTTTGAAGAGACTACCATTTCTCAGTGGAGGTCCACTTCCAGCTTCTGGAAGGCAATGCATCGTTTCCAGTCTCATTGAGCTCCACATTCTCTCCATTCGAAGTATACCAATCGACCAGGTACTCTAAGAACTCCAGCCTTACGTGGCATCGAGCTCTTAAACACTACATCAGTCCAGGACTGCTTACATGATTGTGTGCTCCAAACGAGCTTGCCAATCTTTTGACATTAGCCAACGCCTACCCCAACGTTATGTAGAATGTGCATATCTCTGTTGTAACCCTAGGAGCTTCATTGTGCCCTAAACGGGAGTCAACATGGTGCCGGCGCCTGTGTCTCTCGTTGGCCTGCTCGTCTCCCAATTGAAGCTCGATCTTGAGCTTTGGTCTCTGCGTACGGGCCGTAGCTTCCAGGCTATGGACCTTGCTTTGTCTAGGTTTGAAGCCCTTGCGAACATGGATAAGTTGCTCTTGGCGTTTGAATGGGAAGCCATCGTCACCTGGGTCACAGACGAGCTCGCATTTGCACATCGCACACTCCAGCCACTGTCACTGGTCGACCCAAAGAGCGCAGCCGTCTTTACTCGGAAACTGGACGCCATCATCTTGAGTTTTTTCCCGGCCGTGTGTAAGCAGCAGCTCAGGATCCAGGCGCTCGCAATTTCTCAGGGCGAGATTGTGCTGCAGAGGCAGCTTGGGAGTGGCGGACAAGGATCGGTTTACCTGGGACAGTGGCAACGCCACGGGAAAGTGGCAGTCAAGTGCTTCCGTTCGCCAAGCCTTTGGCGGACGGAGGTTAAGGCTCTTGCGCTCTTGCAGAGCCGGACGTCGGCGCATATCCTCCATCCCTATGGTGTGCTAGACGGCAGCATCGTTTTTCCTGTGATGGAGTGTCATCTCCAGAAGCTTATTGACGATGTTCCAACGATTCCAGAGCCTGAGCGACTGAAATGGTCTTACCGGTTCCTATCTATACTCGTGCAGGCGGCCAAGGGAGTTGCTACGATGCATTCACATGGAATTCCTCACAGAGATTTGAAGCCAGACAACATCTTGATTCTGGACGCGGTGGGGATTTGCCTGGCCAAGGTAGCTGACATGGGCCACGCGAAAATCGGGTTCCATTCGGGCCCTAACTCGGGCGGCACGTCGCACCTGTTCTACACTCCCCCGGAGCTCAGGCAGCCCAAGGGCGGGGCTACCGGAATGAAACCCTGGTATTCCAAGCAGAGTTTCGACTGCTATGCGCTGGGAGCTGTCGTGAAAAGTTGCATCAATACAGGAATTTTTGAATGCCACCCTCGAGCAACTGACCACCTTAAAAGCATTGTAGAAGACTGCTGCCAAGCAGCACCTGGAGGTAGACCCTCGGCCAAAGATGTGGTAGCCAGGCTCACGGAAGTTCTCAAGGCATACTTTCTCGAGATTGAAGGTTGATTTATAAACACACATAGTATGTATTCTGTATTAATGACCACGCTTTCCAAAAGTTGAGATCGTTGCTTGACTGCTAGCTCCACCACGTTGGCCAGTGACTTCACAGCGACAATGAACATAAAGTATACCAACTACCAATGGCATGGAATTCTTGTCCAAAAAATCTTGTTTGTGGTAGTGAAGCCAATTAAAATTTAAATTTGATTCTTTTTACTTGGACATGCTCCAAAGAAAAATGTATATTCACCATCTGTTCAGCCTCAACCCTGAAAAGAAGCTATTGCCCCTTTAAACTCCAACAATTACCATTCTTATGAGAGACCAATCTGGATGACAAATAAGTATACATTTATGTAAACAAATTGGGAGCCTGGGAGTGGATGGCATTTTTGCTGTTCTCAAGAGTGAATGAAATTAAAATGAAATCATTACCCACACTGCAGCAATTTTGATCTGTAAACACCATGCCTGGGCCCCGAGGAGAAAAAAGAAAGAATAGCAAACCTGAATAACAAGCAGCCTCATGAGAAGAATTGCCAACTTCTTCAAATAGAATCCATGACGAGGAAACCGACTCATACACTGACACAGAGAGACCTTATAAGAGAAAGCATGTGCCTTATAAGAAAATGTTTTGGTTCATACGGCAAAAAATGTCACATCAATTTTACAGCCACAAGAGTGAGATTATCATTTGTCCCAGCCTTAAGTGCTGTGTCTATCACTTTTGAAGGAATCCCCTGGCATGTTCCATTCCTAATTGCATTGCCAACGACTTTACAAACACCCTGATATCTCAGCTTTTCAAAAATCCCATCAGATCCAACCAAAAGGTAAAGAGGTCTTGGCCTGTGTTGCCTCAGGTCATGTACTGTGAATTCTGGCACTGCGCTCATCCCAAACGCCTTGAGATCACGATCACCTATAGCTCTCGACACCTCAAACTCACCAAACAGCTTCCCGTTGCTGTGAATGCTTCCACCAGCTTCCTCAATCCGTTTTCTCTCGTCCTCCCAATACGGATGATGGTCACGCGTCAGCCTTACACAATCCTCAGGTTCCATACCACATAGGATAGCCCTAGAGTCTCCAACATTCAAGACCACAAGGGTGTGGCCGGTGACAGCTGCTACGCAGGCTGTGGTTCCTGCGACAATTCCATGCTTCTCTGATTCCTTAAGGAAGGCATCCTCCACGTCTGAGACTGCCGAGGACAGAGCGGCCATTAGCAATTGGGTGTTGTCGTTGCTTTTGTTCAAGTGATAGTTGAATCTTTCATAGAACCAGGTCACTGCAAAATCGCTTGCCTGTGATCCGCGATGGCCATCAAACACTGCAAACAGTCCAACCTTTCCTGGGATCGCCAACAACCTGTCCTCCTGGTACGCTCTGCGCCCCATGTGACTCGCTGCCTCCCACATCACGCTTCCCTTTCCCGTCTAGCCCTAAAAAGTTATGCGAATATCTTAGGATATAGTTTATTTGGTTTCCATTTGGTTTTATATGGTTATCCCTGTAGTGGCTATAGAAGGGGTGCTTATGTCGAAAATTCTTCTCATGAGAATCAAAGCTTATGCTTCTCACCACAGACTCATGCACAAGTATCATGAACATTTAAACTCGATTCCAGATATTCCAACTTCACTCTGGAAAAAACGACAAACAAACAAACAAACAAGAGAACATACCTTTTGCCTCATTACTATCTGTTGAAGACATAGTCCACCATTTGGCTAAGCCAAAAACTAAGTTGATGGCCAATTTATAATTTATAAACTGTATCATTGTCAATGTGGACGTGGCCCCAACTTATTGGAATCCCAAGTGTGTGACCCCAGAAGGCAACTCTTCCACCAATGGATCGACTTGACAGATTCCTGCACTAACGTGAGGGCATGCTATGGACGCTCCAGTCCTGATGTGGAAGTCAGAGAACACACGGCAGCTAAATCTTTGTTAAAAACAGGTGTTATGAAGCTGGACTATGCTACTAAAAACCGACATTGGGCTGACCTTGAGAATGTTTAGAGAGAAAGGTGAGTGACAGGCCTTTGTATGTGAAGTCATGTTGCTTGAGCTGCAAAATGTTTCTAGCCGAAATAAGAGGCCTAAAAAGAAAGATATACACAAGAGATATCTTTTAATTCACTATATATGAAATTCAAATAAATTTTTGTAGATTTTTGAAAAATCACAATAGATTTACTTATAAAATATCAACTTATAACCTCTTGTCATTTCTTTGCATATTAAATTCAAATGTTTTTAATTGTAAATTCATATGGAATTTAAAATGCCTTGCCACCTCAACAATGCAACATAAGCAATTCCACATCATTATATACATGTCACATCAACAAGAAATCAAGATTATTGTTTCAATAGAAATCTAAACCATAAAATTAAATACCCCATGTTCTGTTTTTCTATGAGATTTTTCTCGTTTCTTCCTCTTTGACCTTGCAAGGCACTTTATGCTTGCGAGGTGCTTTGTGAGTGTTGGCCTCTGGCTCTTCATCTAAATCGATTAGAACCATGTTAAGCTGTTACTGATCAATTGCCATTCTTGTGGATTCCAATCTAGCTCCTGGGCAGCTGTTCTCTGCTTCCATTGAGTCTATGTGCCAATCTTGGCTATAAATTCTTCAGCCATGTGGATGGTGTTCATGGGGAATTTTCTGCAATCTTTTCCAGTGGTGCTTCTAGAATTTTTGGAATTCAAATTCAAAAAATTTGGAAGAAGACTTTGGCGGTCTTGCAGTGCCAGGGCAGCCTGAGGATTGGCCAGGGCAGGAGGACGACATTGTTGCTTCTGTGGTTCTACTGTTTGAGGCACGTGCATTGGCGTCACACTTGTCGAGGGCATCTGCTGTGCTTGTGATCCATGGTGCCAGAGGTGTTGGTTTTGCCTTTTTAGGGCGCGGTGTGGGCATCTGTTTCGGAGCTGAAAGGGTGTGGGCATTTGGGGCCTATTTGACAACATAAGCTATGAAAAAGAAACGGCACAAGCTCATAAATAACAAGAGCCCATTGTTTTGTGGAGCCTCCCGTTTTGGCTGTAGGCCGTGACGCTCGACGTCCACAATATCACATTCTTGTCTGGCTGGCTTGCCAACTGCATGACGTCTTTGTAGGCAATGTCCAGGGCTTAATTTCGTGTGCCTGTCTTGGAGCTCTTGTGATGGATCTCCAGCAATATGAAGTGCAGTACCTTGAACTATAGCCACTTGTATCTCCTGTTGTCAGTTGGGTTGGGTGAACAAATGGTAAATAACGAAAATCGTTGTAGCCATCTTAAAACCGACCCTCCTCTCCACCAATGAAATCAGCATTGGAGGAGCATGGAATTCTAAGAAACCTCAGCAGCCATCAGCAGCAAAATCGCTTGCCTATGGCCATTACACACTGCAAACAGTCCACACCAATTGATAGAGGTCTGGGAGATAAAGCCTGACTCTTCCATCTTGGCACCACCACTACTACTTGGAATTAAAACGTATCCTTTTTGGTTTTAATTCTGTGCTGCTGGATAAATCCTCCAGCACAGTTTTCTTATTTTCCCATGTGATTCTACTCATACCAAGTGCTTCACAAAGCTTGCCTGACTAAAAACACAGCTTGGAAAGCATATCTTTCCTGAATTCCCCTGTGCACGGCGAACCTGCATGTCACCCTTGTTGTCTTGATCTTACCTGAGTGATGTGTGGAGCTGGAAGTGCCCAAGAAACATGAACTGGGAAGATATCTGTGAGCCCAAGTGTCCAAATCTCAAGAAAGATCGTCAAAGAGATCTTGCACTACTGATGGTAGGCTGGGAAACGTGGAAGAGTTTGAGAAGCTGATCAAGAGGAACCACTCTTGAATGCAGCAACTGCCCAGAAAGGGCATTGCAAGGGGGCATTAGTGACCTTTGTGAGTGATCATGCAAAAGACGGTAGTTTTCTCGGCAGCAACGTGCTCTTGAGCACAGCACTCATCAACATGTATAGAAAGTGGCTCAAACTTGGTGCTTGTCAATTGGCTGATTCATCTCTACAGCACCTTTGAGTGGGCGATGGATGCATGAATTTGCTGGTGGTTGCTCCAGAACCTATATCTAGATATGTGAAATCTAAGAGCCCATGTAGTCTAGTGGTGCACAATCCTGGGACAAGGAACAGCACAGACGGAACAAGACATGAAGGAGCTTGGCATTTGCCCAGAAGCATTAGGCATTGGAGTTTTATGTGTTCTTTATTGCCTTGACACATGATGGAGACAGTAGTCACAGAGTTGGTGGCATGTTGGGGCGGGCAAAGGGAGCTAAACAATCACTTTAGGGGTGACTTGGAGCAGCTAGGAATTAAAAAAGTTCCCAACCTCTAAAGTCTCTTAGAAATACTATGCATGGTATCTTGCTATGATGGTGATTGGGATGGAAGGGCTTTTAGATCAGGTGGCAAGGATTGTTGCCACGATTGGGACTAATGGTATACAGAGGTGAATTCCCTATGGCAAGGCTAGAAAAAGAAATATAAGAAATTTCAAGAAAGAATGGCAAGAAGTTAAAAAGTTTGTTGACATAGTCTAACAAGACCTTCAATAGTAGGAATTTGAAATAATTTCCAATTTATTTAACACACATGGTCTCACTATGGCATGGTCCATCCAGCTATTAGAGTGCCCTTCCAGATATACATCCACATCATAGTTCTCACCTTCTTAAGAGTTGTCCTCAACACCAGCCAGATTGAGACAAGATACCAAATATGAGGGAGGATGACACTCTTTGCTACCACCCTCCCTGGAAGTCTGAGTTTTCTTGGTGCCCAACTTTGCACTACTGTTCTGACTGGCTTGTGTCCTGAAGCATTGTGCTGAATGTGACTCCCACCTATATCCCAAGGTATCTTGTGTCCTCCCCTGGTTTCAACCCAATTTCTTGCTCCCACCATTCAGTTCTCAACTTACCTCAGTTGATCATATTGAATTATTCCAACTGATGGCATCCCAGATTGCCAGATTAAACATTTCCAGTTTTCCTTCACCTCGTCCAGGTTCTTGGTGTGGCCAGGAGGAGTGTTAGCTGCAAAGGTGCCATCTAGGAGCTCTTGCACCACTTCTGCTGTCCTTGGAAGTTGTTGTCTCATGCTAGGGATTTTGATGCCTTTCACTTTCTTGTCTTCTGCCATGAATGCTCAGAGTGCCTCCACCACTAACAGGAATAAATATGGGGGCACCCTTGACTCACTTACCTCCCAAGCTAGAAACTTGGGCCCAACTCCCCATTTATTGCAACTTGGCTTGTCACCCCCTGAAAAAGCAGTCAAATGTGCAAGACCATTAGCGCCAGAATGCCAACCTTGGTCATGCACTCCTTGAAGAATGCCAATCCATTCAGCTGTAGGCCTTCCCAAAGTCAAGTGGCCACACTGGAATTTGTTGCTTTGTGATCTCCATCCAACTGTGTGAGACACAAATCCCTAAGCCCCAAAGTGGAGTCGAAAGGATGCCACGTGGTAGTGGCCGAAGCAAAAGCTAAATGAGCGTAACACGTTTGGAGTAAATGCTCTGACTTGCTCGAGAGCGGGAGTGGAACTCCCAACAAAGTGCTCAAGGAACAAGCACAAAGCAAGCAATAAGTGAGTTTTTAGAAAAGGGACACAAGAGGAGTTCGAGATGGACCGAGACGGAGTCTGAGATGGATTCCGAGATGGACCTCAGATGGAGTCTGAGATAGAGTCCGAGATAGAGTCCGAGATGGAGTCCGAGATGGACCTGAGATGGAGTCCGAGATGGAGTCCAAGATGGAGTCCAAGATGGAGTCCGAGATGGACTGAGATGGAGTCCGAGATGGACCCGAGATGGAGTCCAAGATGGAGTCTGAGATGGACCGAGATGGAGTTCAAGATGGACCAAGGATGGAGTTTGAGATGGACCTGAGATGGAGTTCGAGATGGACCGAGATAGAGTCCGAGATGGACCCGAGATGGAGTCTGACATGGAGTCTGAGATAGACCAAGATGGAGTTCGAGATGGACCCAAGATGGAATCTGAGATGGAGTCTGAGAAGGACCCGAGATGGACCCGAGATGGACCCGAGATGGAATCCTAGATGGAGTTTGAGAAGGACCCAAGATGGAGTCCGAGGTCGAGACCGAGACCGGGGCCGAGACCGAGACCAAGATTGGGATTGAGACCGAGACCAAGGCTGAGACCGAGTCTAAGTTCAAGTCCAAGTCCGAGGGTGAAAGCCCAAAGCATTTGTCTCTCAGACCCTGGGGGGTTTGGTGAGCTCCAAAAGTATAGTAGAGGGAAGACTCCAATGGAGCTAGCTTGGTCAGGAAAGGCTAGTTTGGCCTAGGAAGGCTGTGCCCAGGTGTTGGGTGATGGGATAACCACTGGGAAGTCCAAGGCTAGAGTGAATATGGATTGACAAGTG